CAAATAACCAATTTTCAGTTTTGGTTATTTAGCAAATAACCAATTTTCAGTTTTGGTTATTTACAAATAACCAATTTTCAGTTTTGGTTATTTAGCAAATAACCAATTTTCAGTTTTGGTTATTTAGCAAATAACCACTTTGCAATTTTTGTTATTTAGCAAATAACCACATTCATTTTTTTGGTTATTTGCTAAATAACCTCTGTCTCGTTTTGGTTATTTATAAGTAACCAAACTGCAATGTGGTTATTTACATATAACCATACTTGTTTTGGTTATATACAAATAACCACTCTAAATAATAAAAATACTTTTAGCACCCCATAGCTTCTTGGCTTAAGGGTGTTCTTTAATGTTAGACCAAATTTTTCTTCATGAAGAGATAGGATAAACTGGGTTAAATTGAATCTTGGGAGTTATAAAAGGGTTTAAATCTGAAAAAATGCCAGGGTATAACTTGTGATGGACTATCATCTCACCCAAGTGGGATGTAGGAATAATTTCTGGTCATTTCTTGTTGCAGAAACTGGAATAAGAATAAGGCCCTTACTAGGAGTTATGATAGAATGTTATCCGTGTCACATAATGGAGATTGATGAAATTTTATTCTCTTTTTTCCTAAGGTCATGGCTGTAAAAGACAAGTATGGAAGGCACATAACTGGGAGTGATAAGCAGGTTAAACAGGTCATAGACTATGTTGTATTTGAACGTCCCTTGACTAGCACCAATTATGGAACCTGGAGAGTGTGTGGAAAGTTGCATGCCTTGCCAGCTAAGGAAGATACAGGAAAACAACTTGCCAAGAATGTTCCTGCAGTTTAGAGAGGACCTTGATTTTAATAATGTGTCTTTTACAAAAGGACAGAGTTGATGTAATCTGAAATACAGTGTACAGTTGCATAGGAGTTGTTCCATCCAGCAATTATCTGTTTGATGCAAAAGACTGTTTCAGATAGAATTGTAATCCATTCGAGTGGAATTCAATTAAGGTATGCATGATCTCAAAGTTTGTGTTGGATCAAATAAATATCTAATTTAGAAACTGGCTCAATTTCTCTTGGTACAATAATGTTACATTCCAAAAATATTTCTGAAAAGTCTTGACAATTTTCTGATCAAAACATTTCTCCTCATTTGGAACTCTGAAAGGAAGCCATTCTTCAAAAATAACATGGACCACCATAAAACTTTTGCAAGAGTATAATATTTATTTCAATTTAATACACACTACAATGCATTTATCATTTAACTCAGTCAGAGTAGTTTACAGAGTAACACTTCTAAATGTTTAAGCTCCCTCTTCTTCTTCTTCAGACTCTGTTTCTTAAAAACAGAAAAAATGTTACATCAGTTTGGTGCACACATCAGTTTGGTGCACTATCTTCTAATTCAACTCTTTCACTCTCAATATCTAAAGACCGATTCTCTGTAAGATTTGCCATACATTTCTTACAATTTTAGTCATGGAATTTGTTGTTACATGATACAATTCTTCCTATCACCTTTCTGGTTTAAACTGAACCAAGCCTGTGAGAAGAATTTTTTTGGTCACTCCTGCACTTGAAAGGGGAAAAGGGCATAGGTCATTCAGAAAGCCAAAAATAAATATGTTGACCAAATATGGGTGGGGGAGGGAGGAAGGGGGCATTGTTGTTTATTAGAAACTTGCTGAAAATTCCACAATTAGAGAGAATCTCTTTGCTCTTTTTACTCAATTATTTAACAAATGAAGGGGTAAGAAAAAAATAAAACATGAATTCCATGATTCTTCACTTCGTTGCCCTCTCAGATTTCATTTCAAAGACTTCAAAATGAAACCAGACTTAAACTTGAAATGAGGATATAAGCAAACTATTCATGACAAGCACTTAACCTTACCATTGCAGTGTTATGAATAAAAATATGAAACTATCCCCACCATCCAACATTTACCACTAACCAATCCATATTTATTGGAAGATGCCCCTATCACAGAATGTGAGCAGGCTGTGATGGTGGGTGTTTCTCCTCCCAAAGAGTTTATCGACTGTCTGCCCCCACCACCTTCTTTTCAGTGGTGACCCCTTCCAGACTTCTTGCTGACTCTCATTAGCATTACTTTTGTGAAGGGGGGAGAGGAAAGGGAGAGGGAGAGAGAGGAGAGGGGAGAGGAGGGAGGAGTGAGGGGGGAGAGGAGAGGGAAGAGGGGAGGGGAAAGGGAGAGGGGAGGGACGGAGGAGGGAGAGAAATGCTCATGCTGACACACTATGCTCACAGGCTACTGTCACATACCTTCTTCTGCACTCTGAAGCCATTCCACCATTTTCTTCATCTGCTCAAGGAAAACAGTTTTTCCTTTCTGGGAGTACCCTCCTTTGTACCACTTGATGATGGTATCTTCACTTAGAACATCAGCTAAAAATTAGGGTAGAATACATTTCTTGAAATGCTGATTATTGAATCTGGGCAGTGCATGGAAAGTTAACCTTGGTGGGTATTTGGGATTTTGTCATTTGGCTCTCAAGTTATTCTCTAAACTAACCAAGCTTTCAAGTTCTAAGGATTTCTCATTAAAAGTTCCTTGTTCTTAAAATTTATGTTCACAACATCTCCCGTTTTGTTGATTTTTACCACAATTTATTGCAAGGTATCAATAACTGACAAGGTTTCTTTTTGGTCTGTATGCTACACTGTAAAACCCTGTCAATGGTTTTCTAAGTGTGATGAACGATATACAACTTCTTCAGTAGTATAACATGACAGAGGGGGTATTAGGATTAAACTTTACAAGCCTGTTACCTGTGGGAACCACATTATTATTACTTTTTAATTCCCACTCACTTTTGTACAACAACAGCACCATTTTTTGAAATACTTTTGTGAAGTTCATGTTATCATAGCAGTATTCCTGAAATAACAAATTAAAGACGTTTTTTACTAGAGAATTCAAATAATTAGAACTGGCCTAGACTACTTTGTTTGCAGTGAGAAAAATTACTAGTAACTAGAAGAAAATCTTAGCTGAGTTGACTTTCACAGTGCAAAATTTGCCCACTTTAACCTCCGAGGGTGATATGCACCAAGTTTCTCCTCACTGCATCACCCCTGAGTCAACCAATAAGGTCATGAGAATTAAGAGAATGATCATGAACTCAAGATGCTCTTGATTGCTGGGCAAATTCTCCTTGTAGGTACCACAAGAAATGTATAGAGAACGCTTTGGAGAACTTGCATACCGATGTTAGGGCATAAAGGGTTAATACCTGAACCTTGACCAAAAGATTCATCTCAGACTTGGCTTGTGAGGTAAAAGCTGCAAGCAATGGAGCATAAACCTAGAAAATATCATCACAACAATTCAATTCTATGCATCATCAATCTTGTTTCAATCACAGGGGCCCACACAATCTGTTTGTGTAGCTGACTGTTGTTTTATAGTGAATGTAGCAGATTTACCGTTTGCCCCACCTATAGTGATATATTGCTGACTATGTACATAAATCATTGATAAATAAACGTTGAATTACTTAACCTGTGGTGTATAGTAATTACTTAACCTGTGGTGTATAGTCATCCTCGCTCTGCTTTCAAACTTCGCAGCATTAATATCAAAAGAGGCACAATTCTCCTCGTACCTTCCAATAAAAAATCCATCCAAATGGACCGGAGCTAGCCCTCCAAGAAAATCAAAATCCCACAGTACTTGAGCATCTGGAATGCATAGCAAGATTCTCATGTGCCAGCCAGAAACCATCATGCTCTTGCCCTTTTCTGATTAACCAATTCAAAATAATGTCTTCCAATCAGAAAAGGGCAATCAGCATGACAGTTTCTGGCTGGCACACCAGAATTTTGCTACGCATTCCAGACGCTCAAATACTGTGGGATTTTGATCTTCTTTGAGGGCTAGCTCCAGTCTGTTTGGATAGATTTTGGATCGGAAGGCACGAGGAGAATCGTGTATCTTTTGACCTTAATGCTGTGAAGTTTGAAAGCGGAGCAATGCGATTTTCGGGGGAGAAATCGCTCGGGTGCTTGAACCCTTTCTTTTATGCATTACATTAACGATGAACTCAGACTTGGTCAAAATCGCAAAAAAAAAAACATTTTTGAGGCAAAAGGACGACTATACACCAAAGGTAAAGTAATTCAACGTTTATTTATCAATAATTTAGCTACAAAGTCAGCAATATATCACTATAGGTGAGGCAAATGGTAAATCTGGTACATTCACAATAAAAAAACAGTTGGCTACACAAACAGATTGTATGGGCCCCCTGTGGTTTCAATAATTATGGATGTTCAAGTAACATACAAATTGTGGAGTTTGTGATGCATTATGTAAAATGACTAACACATGTATCAGCTTGGAAAGAAACAAGACAGTGCAATATCTTGAAGGGGGACAAATATTTCTTAAGTTGTGGAAGGTGGTTGTTGAACAACTTTTATAATCTCAATTGACAGCAGCACAAAGTGTAATTATACTTATAGTAAGTTGAGCCTTAGGTTTCACAATTTGTGTGCACTGTGGTGAAGTCTCGCATATTGAATCCAAATTAATCTAGAGCCCAAACGAAGATGGCCATAAAACCACAAAGGGGCTCATGTAGATGGTCTTACATGAAATATTGGTGACTATGACTACAACCAGTGGCAAACATGTTGAGACACCTTGAGCAAAAAAAAGCACATCTAGTGACTTCATCAGACGACCAAAACAAAATGTAGTGCAGAAAAGGGGAACATTCTGTTAGATTGCATGGTGAACAGTTATCTCTCATCATGGCATCATGTCTCAACTACTTTTGTGACTGGTTGTAGCATCCAGTCTCTCCTTACAGTATTAAGATTTAAAGTCGCAAGAAGAAAGGAAACAAACATCAATTGAAGAAGGTCTTGACGATTAAACAATTTCTCATTGTCTGTAACATAAGAAATGTACAAAAAAACAGTAAGGAGAATACAAATACTGACATTAGAGCATATGGGGTTATAAAGGTGGTTGGTGTTCTACACCAATCATAGAGCACTCACCTTGAGGTGACGCAGAGCTTGATCAGCAACAAGCTCTTCTTTCTTGTTCCATTCCACAGCACGCATTAAACTTTTCCAAACCTAGATTTTATACGCAAAAACACCTCGTCATTTCTTTGCTCTATGCTTGTGCTAACTTGAGATTAAAGCTGATAGCTTCAATGGAGAGTTGCAAAGTGCCAAGTGCAGTATTGTTGGCAAACATAAGTATTCGAAGGAAGGGGAAGGTTAATTTTGGACTCAGTCATCCAACCGAGAAAATAGTAAGCTGACTATACTCTTAGGAAGAAAGTTTGAAAATTTTAAATTGACTGTTTCTCTTTCTCTAAAAGAGTTTTGCACTGTGTTAATAGTACTTTTAATTTCAATATCATTACTAAAAAAGTTGCTTTACCAGGAACACAACATCATCTTCAGAGAGCTCATATTTCTTCATTTCTTCTTTACAGGAGGATATCATCTGTTGATAAAATGCTCAAAAATGTAACAACTGGCAGGACAATTTTAATAAGAGAGGCTAAACGTAGCTTCAATGTTTGAAATTCTTGGTTGTTGTTTTTTTCCCCCCAACCAATTTACATTGAATTAAGAAGTTGTTTCAACCTTGGTTCATGTTGGCATTGAAATAAAAAATCCCACTGGAGGGGAAGTCAATCAGTTAAGTTACACACTTCCAATAAAATAAGCAATTTATTGGTATTTACTGCATTTTATTGGTAGCTATTCAAGTGAAATGGTCAAATCAGATTGATGTATATCCAGTAGCTCAAAATTTGTTTGAACATAGCATAAAACCTTTTACACCCAAGCATCAGTACGCATATTCTCCATACTGTTCTCTATACATTTCCTAAGGTGCTGACTCGGAAACTGCCTCCTGGTTAGCTCAATTGGTTAGTAGAGTGCCGGACTGTTGTGCAGGAGGTTGAGGGGGTTCAAGCCCCCGATGGACTAACACTCGAGGTCTTAAAATAACAGAGGAGAATGTGCTACCTTTCTATAATATCAAGAAATGGATAGATGAGATACAATGAAATATATGAAGTTCATATATTTTGTACTGCGGTATTAGATACATATGATGCACGATTTCATTGTATCTCATTTATCATTGTATATTCATTGTATCATTATTTCAAATTTGTATCTCATTTATCATTTTCACGGGTTTATTAAGAATCAACTTAACGGCCTGCTCCCAGTTGGCTTGTTAGCTCAATTGGTAGAGTGCTGCACTAGTATCGCAGAGGTCAGTGGTTCGAATCCCGTACAGGCCTGATTTTTTTCAGGTCTGATTTTCGCTATTGCTTAAATAGCGCTATCTACTGCGAGTATCGTGCATCATATGTAAATGGATAGATATTCTAGTCTTCTCAGATAAGGATGAATAAATCATAGCTCCCATCTCCTGCTTCTCTTAACTAGTTAATTTGGTTAAGCAGGGGATGTTAAAGGAACCACTCACGATATTACTGTGATGTGGTCTGGCCTGTTTACTGGGAATTGGGCAGGCCTTGTCATTGTTAACATGGTATCCACTGTAATTGGCTAAAATCTGTAGTGATCTCCCTGCCTGAGATAATTAGGCAAAGCTAATTAAATAAAAATAATAATAATAATACTAATACTAATAATAATAATAACAGTAATAAAAATAAAGAATTTGAAAAACAGTCAAGAGCATCTTTAGTTGGTGATTGTTTCATTTGTCCTTTTGATTCAAGAGTGATCCTGTTGTGAAGATTTAGAAGCTTATTGCACAAGAGTTAAGGATGCTACACACATTCCAAACCCAATTATTAAATCCAACTAGTATGCATCTTACCTCCTTGACCGGTGCTTCATTGTCCAGCATCTCTTTCAACTGCTGCTGAAAATTTCTCCGAGTACCCAGGGTCTGTTGAGCTTTCTGAGAGCAATAAAGGAAAAAAATATTTATTAAAAAAAAGTAAAAAAAAACTGAGTACTGAGGCATACATAGAATAAAACCACAAAATAATGATAGTCAGATGAGGCAGGCTCTTCTAATTTCCACTTTCTGAAGTCATAGCATTTGGGTAACTACTAGTACATCATGTACCATACTCTTGTGTACCTGGGCTAATTGAAGTAAATAATGACTGTTTCAAGCAAAATTGCAATGTTAAGGGATTAAGAACTCAGTGAAGGTTGTTACTTAAGGGATATACTAACAATGGCCGGTAATTTCAATTTGGGAGGGTGTCTCTAGATCTCTTGACATGCCATCACTTATACAAAAGTTTTCTACCATGATACTGTATACAGCTCTGTTCATGAAGAACTAAAAATATTTACAATAGATTAAAACTCTTGTGACGAAGAGAAGAATATTTTCGAAAGGGGGAGAAAAAAAAAAACCAGGATTAGCAAGAACAATAATAGATTATGCACACAGGCTAAGATTATTTTCAACAATTAAGAACAAGAGAATGGCATTCATTTTGTAAAAATTCGTACCTGAAATGCCACAAGTTTATCTAATCCATTTGCAATGAAGTGCTTGTCAAACATCTCCTGAGTTTGTTTGTTAGGAGGGAAGAAATCCTGTACCTCAAAAACCCAAAAAGATTATAATCAATACAACTAAGATACTGAGCTGAACAAATTCCAAAGAAATAATAAGACATCAGAATTCCAGGCTGCCCTGTAGAATCAGATTGATGTGTAGCTTTTCTTATGCTTTGGTCAACGAGCAAGCATAAAAGAAAAGTTGGTTGCCAGTGAAGAAATCTGCTGGCTTTACCCTTTAAATGCCAGTGTTCATATTCTCCATACAATTCTTATCATGTAAGTTTGGATAATTTGGTATTAGATCAACTAATTAATACCCAAAGCTTGTTGATAGTTTTCTTTATTCTTGACAGTTGTCTTCTTGATATTGTATTGGTGTTGAAAGGAGAAATTCTGTCTTGGTCACTCATGGAAAAGTTTAAGGGTGAAGTCGACAATAATTCCAGAACCTTCATTCTCAACACCTTAACCCTAAAACCTCTAAGAGTGAACAGGATCTAATTTCTCCTTACAATATCACCCTTGAATCACACATTAAGGTCAGGAGAATAAAGAAAATGATCACCAACTCGAAAGCTTTCGGTTGTCAAACAAACTCTCCTTGTCAGCACCATACAAAATGTATACAGAACAGTATGGAGAAGTGACACAGCAAGAAAAAATTAGACACTGGCCACTCTTGAGGGTTAAGGTAATGGAAAAAAATTTCTTTCAGTCTGGTAACACTCTGATATTAAGGCTCAATGCTGCTGTGTGATAACTCCCGTTGACCCACATACTTAAGTCTAACAGGGTTTGAATATTCCCCCCGGTCTAAAAGTTGATTTCACAGTGCAGACAATTGCCTTGAGTCAAAAAGTTACAGCTGAACATATCAGTCTTGAAATACATATCACTCGATCAGTCTAATCACTATAGAGAGGTACCATCCATCCAACTATATGACTGGGATTTTCTTTGTGAAATAAGATGAAAGTTAATTTCAGTTCCAGTCTTACTCACCAGTAGTTTGTTCTCCAACTCTGCTTTTCTCAGAGCTGAGCTCAAACTCGCAAAATCCTTCTCCTTAACCCACACCTGGAACACTTTTGTCAAAAATGGCAGAGCAAGTCCTGGATAAAAGAATTCATTCAGTATCCAATTATTCATATTCTCCACAATTATATCTTATTAACCAAGCGCGAGAGCCGTACTGGGAGAATATCGGCCTGAGGTCTTGACAGTGCGGACCGAGCGCAGTAGGTCCGTACAAAAAAGACAGAGGGCCAATATTCTTCCATTACGGTCCCGAGCAAGCTTGGTTAATAAGAGACTTATTATACGACTGAAGTTCAAAGGGACACAAGTGCGGTATTATTCGGGACAGTGCCCGGTCCAACACTGAGAGAATAGTGACCGGCAATAGAGCATTTTGATTGGTTGATTTTAGTTATTGGCCCTCTGACTGCCCGAGTCATGTAATAAGTTCTCTTATTACATTTCCTATGGTACTGACAAGGAGAATTTGAGGGACAATCAGGAGCTCCTTAAAATAATTTTAGTTCTCTGCGACCTGTTTCTCAAAAGTTCCAGCAACTTAATGCAGCGATAAGACTGTTCTCTTTTCATACAAGATGGGGATTTCAAAAAAGTTTTGGAAATATTACAATAATAAAAAGTATTTGCTAAAGAGACAAAATGGAATAGTTTGTGTGCCAGAATCTGCTTTTCTATTCTTTAAATTTTCATTTTAAAACATGGCTTTCAGCTCATTAAGTTACCAGGACTTGTGGGAAAAATTTGATTCAAGGGTGGTACAGTAAGGAGGAATTAGAGGCCAGTGACCCTTAGGGGGGGTGATCACAGTGTACCATAACTTCTCCACAAACAAAAAATACAATATGGACAGGACATAAATGGGTAATAATTGGTAATGATGCTAAATTCTCCTAATGAATCACACAGGCGTTATCTTTGATAAAGGATGAAGTCTGAGAGAACCATTGGTAAATACTATACCTATAAAATGTACCTTCTTTGACAAGGTTTTCATTGAGTAGGCTTGAGAGTGCTGTAGGTGAAGCCATGCCTGAAAGAGAATAACATGTCTTTGAAATAATTTGTTACAAGGAGCTACAGTACAGCTAAATGTGAATTTAAACAGGTTGTGTTCCTTGCTACCTTCTGACTAAACAAGCATATCACCTTTCAGATGTACTTTGATCAGAATAGCGATCGTCCACTGCATATACTGATTAAAAATTTTTTTTTATATCTTCAAGTAAAGAATCATAATGGAAAGAGAATCAAATAAAAGTTCTGAGAATTTACCATTTGCTAAAATGATACCAGCAGCAATAGCAAGCTTGTTTCTCTGATCTTCACTGAAACCCTTGAGAAAGAGCAAGATCTGGAAAGAAAGGGGAAAGTTAGGATCAAGCAAGGATAATCCTTAGGCTCCTGAGAATGAGCAGCATCTAATTTCTCCTTACAATATTACCCTTGAGTTAAACTTTAGGGTGAGGAGAATAAAGGAAATGATCACCAACTAAAGAAGGTCTTGATTGTTCAACAAATTCTCCCTGTCACTTACAAAGGAAATGCATGGAGACTGCAACTTAAGTTTAATCTGAAGCCTGCATTTGGCATGAAACTATGCTTTAACAATATGTTTGCCAATATCAATGGTGCTGAAACAGGGGTTTCATTAAGGGCCGGGCACCCGCCAAATCGAACGGTTGTAAGGACAGTTCTGTCCACCTGGTTTAACAATCTGGAGGAAGGTTTTTCTTATAAAGAAGTTTAGTTCAAAAAGTTTTGCCCGCCTGTGAAAACCAGTTGCCCTCCTGCTGAAAACATTAATGAAACCCCTGCTGAAAAGTGAGCAGTTGTCTGAGAGTAAAACTTGAGGAAACCTGTGAGCGCCAAGGAACAGATGTCTACAGAAAACTATGCAAACATCCTTTTAACCAAATGGTGGTTATTGTGTTAATTATTCATCAAATATTACACCAGTCTAGTCTGAAACTAAAACTCCCTAACCTTTTTTATCTCATCTTCAAAGGCTTTTTGCAGGTATCTGTACCGTGCTATAACCTTGTTGATAACCTACACAAACAACAAAAGAACATGACAACAAGAATTTCAAAAATTTAGGTTGAGTTATTGAGTAGAGTGTTGTCACTTAACTTCTATCAATAAAAAAGAAACACTTGTATGCAGGAAAAAGCTGACAAAACTTTTACTATTTGTTGAAGAGCAATAAGTTGGAGTATCACAAAGTGTTCAATTTATAGCATATTTACCTGCACATACGTCTTGACATCGTCATCATTGGCATCAAAAATGCATACAGATGTTTTCCACGTGGCTTTTTCTCCTTCTTCAAGGATACTTCCGCCAGGAGCTGTAACGAGGATGAAATAAAAAAATACTGATCGACTCTTTAACTCCCAGAAGTGATTAATATAGAACTTCTCCCTATATTATGAATACAGTATCCAGCAAACAGGTAATGAGAATAATCAAAGTTATCAGGTAGAAGTTGTTAACTTGATCTAACAACAAATTCTCACAACCAATCTACAAGAAAATGTGTAACAGCTAGAGTTAAGAATTAACGATCTGATCTTCAGAGTTAGAGGCTTAAATACACACAGTCTCATGCAACATACTAAATACAACAACTTCTTGGGAGCTCTAATGAAGCTCACTGGGTACTTTAGGTCTATGTGAGACGTTAAAATCGTTCCAACATTGATCTATTGTTCATTTTCAAACTTGGCAAAAATAGAGAACTGTCTAGCATGAACTGACTTTAGTTTAGTTTAGTACATAGTCCTGTCCAGTCCCGTGTGGAGGCGTGGTGGCCTCATGGTTGGTGCGCTTGACTCCGGATCAAGTGGTCTGGTTTCGAGCCCCGGCCGGGACATTGTGTTGTGTGCTTAGTCAAGGCACTTTACTCTCAAAGTGCCTCTCTTCACCCAGGTGTTTAAATGGGTACCGGCAATTTAATGCTGGGGATAACCCTGCGATGGACTGGCATCCCATCCAGGAGGGAGAAGAAATACTCCTAGTCGCTTCATGCTACAGAAACCGGAGTTAAGCACTGGCCTAATGGGCCACTAGGCTCGTAAACAGACTTTACCTTACCTGTCCAGTCCCCCTCAAATTTCCTCAAACTTGACTTTCCAAAATAAGCTTCGACCCTTTCACTCCCAAGGTCTTACTCGTGACTCGCCTTATTGTCTGCCATACAATTCTTGTAATGTTACTTATTAATAAGAGAATTTGATATTGGATCAACTCATAATCCCCTAACTGATATTTTTCATTAGCCTCATCACTTGTTTGCTTGATATTGTAAGGAGAAATTCTGTCTTTGTCATTCATACAAGTTAAAGGGTTAATGAGAACACAAAGCTCTAAATGCTTTCATCACTCCCACAAGCGATTAACGTGTAGCTTCTCCTGAAAATATCGATAAAACATCCAGTAAACAGGTATAACCAGAAGACTCAAACTTATCAGGTAGAAGTTGTTATCTTGATCTAACATCAAATTCTTGTAACTAATTTACAAAGAAATGCGTAGCACATGATGGGGACAATTAACAAACAGATCTTAGGAACAAAAAGTTCAACTCATCATACCTAAAACACCTCCAGCAAACAGTATATCAAAGAGACACTCTCCATACAGTCGGTAGTTGAGCTTACTCCCTGACGAGTCCAGAAACTTATACACCTTTAAAAAGAATAAAAACGGGTCATGTGTGATTACTTCTGGTGGAGAACACCTCCCAGGTCAAACACTTCAATTTTACTCTCCTACAATCCATGGATAGCTAGCTGGCAAACTATAGCATTAAGCCTAACGGCCCATTGATACCAGAGCTTATCTTGGTTTCTTGAGCATGAAGAGACAAAATAATGCTACTCTTCTGAAGAGGAATGCAGTCCATTATAAATAACCTTTCAGCGATTGTGGCAGATGAGGTGGCCTAAGAGCTAGTATTAGGTTAGCTAGAGATCTGAGGTTGAAAACTGGCCGGGTCACCATAGTTTGTTTCCAGGCAAGGCATGAAACTCCCAGTGTGCCTCTCTCCAATCTGGAGTATAAAAAAAGTACTAGCAAACTGCTAGCGGAATCTGATGAAACGCTGGGAAAGAGTAATTTGCGATGGATCAGCATCTCATCCAGGGGAATTAGTAGCACTGCTAGTAACTTTCTACTTCAAAAACCGAGATAAGCTGTTGTTGGATGGGCCAGTTGGTGGTGGTAGGGACAAGACAGTTTTAACAGTAACCGTACTCAGGTGAAGGGAAACACTGAGACTTATTTAGTGTCTTACTCAAGAATGCAACACAATGACCGAGACAGGACTTTCACATTGACCTCTCACCAAACACACAGCTTAATGCAACTTTTCACCATGACTTAAACATAGCAGTACTGTAATTTTTAAACACAATGAATATATGAAATTCATATATCTGAACTGCGGTTGTAAAAACGTATTTGTGCACAATCCTCGCAGTAAAGAGCACTATTTGAGAAATAGTGACAATTTTTTCTCTATTGCTTAAATAGTGCTCTTTACTGCCAGGATCATGCACAAATACATTACTGTAATTTTTATTGATAACCTCTTATGACTGAAAATGTGCAGTTACTTAGGATCTCAAGGATGTACCTTCCATTGATTCTGATATTGGTTTCTTTTAGGCTTACTGATTTTGCAATGATACTGGCTTTTGTTTGCTGTTGTTTCTGAACACCACACCTCTCACAAAGGATTTTGGCCTCCTTTCACATTTGTTCAATATCTTGATGTCATTCATCGTCGAAGACCCAGGGGCTGAGTCGATTTCAAGTTAGGGCATGAAGAGCCCCTGGGGACATTGTCTTACAAGGCTAGTTCCAAACGTTCGCAGTCGTTCTGCCATCTGATTGGTGCCAGAAAATCTTTGTGTTTTTCCGCCCAATCAGAGTGAAGTGTACTTTAGAAACCCTTCGTGTGTTTTAACACAGACATAATTATATTCTGGTAGCTCAGTTGCTCGCTATGTTTGTTTGGACTGTGTGAGGGAGATTTGCTTGAGGTGAAAAGNTTCACTCTGATTGGGCAGAAAAACACAAAGATTTTCTGGCATTAATCAGATGGAAGAACGACTGCCACCATTTGGAACTAGTCTTGTAAGACAATGTCCCCAGGGGCTCTTCATGCCCTAACTTGAAATCGACTCAGCCCCTGGGTCTTCGAGGATGGATGTCATTGTGGTGGTTTTGGTTTACCAACTTAAAGGTTGTTTTTCAGTATGACCTCACAACATGCCCAAATTTGACAGAGTGTAATGCACCAGTAGTTCTGAGTAGTACTGCAATACAAAGGCTGATGGTACAACTAACCTGGTCTAGATCATTGTTACCAATATCTTGAAGCCCTTGTATTATAGCATCTCGAAATGCAAGAGGGTCTTGCTTTTCTTTTTCGTCTGTTGAGTAAATGAATAACGTGAATGTCTGGTTCTTGTCACTTAGGCTTTTTCATGATCTCCTTTAGATGGAAAAATGTTGTTCTCACCCTCCTCTGTACATGAAGTTAGAGATCCACTTCTTTCTCAAATATGCACATTTAGATTCTTGCTCCCATGACAGATTTTTCAGTTTTTTACAAAAATGTGAATGACATCAGAAATTCTAGGAATTCATACATCCTTGTGAGTCCATTAAAAAATGAACAAACTACTCCTACTTTCTATTGGCATAAGACCTGGGAAAAATTGGTATGGTGCAATCCAGAAAAAACTGTATGTATGGTGCAATCAGCATCTGAAATCACAACCTCTGCAAAATTTGATTCATGAACGCTCAATTTGAGTTAATCTTGACCAGAGAATTGCCCTTGAAACAGATAATACCCGTAATATTTTGAATATTAACTACAATGTTTAACATCAATGCCCGTTGAACTATGTTAATACATGAAATCTACAAGCAAAATATGAGTCAAATTCAAGATTTATGTTTATCAAACTTCACTGTTGTATATAAACCTTGCAAATATTTGTATAAACAAAAATTAGAACGCGACTCATGATGTGATGAGTTGCACTTCCTGTCAACAACAGACTTCATTCAATGTACATTTCTGGTTATCATGCCTCATGCTCAGCAGCTGATACTTAAATGGAAAACTGGAAAAATTTCTTCAGAACATTCAACACAACAGATTAAGCTTAAAGGCAAAACTGAAAATCGTGGAATTTTTTTAATTCGTTTCCTCACAAATTTGCGTTTGAAAGTAAAAGTAAAAGCAAAGTAAAGGCGAAACTGCCTTTTCTTCGCATTCAGGAAGAATGAGTGGAAATGTACACTGGACGAAATGATAAACTAAGGTACGCAAAGTTGAGGTAAATTAGCTGACATTCAATTTTGCGTGCATCCAACTGTTTAATGAAAGAGTAAAGAGTAAATTAGTTACAGAAGATGTACCTCTTTTGCGGGTCCTGATCCGCTGGCCACTGAGTGTAGGTTTGGGTTGCTTTTGACTCATAAAACAACTGGCTGAAAATACGATTTACAAGAAGGCACAGGTGAATGGTTGTTTTATGGATCTTGGGACACACATAACTGTACAAAATTCTGTAAAGGTGCGACCGTGTTCCGTTAGCGGATCGCATCTTCGCATCAAGTTTTTAGGCAGGCCTTTTGTGATAAATGCTGTTGCGATCTACATAAACGTAGCTGAAAAAATTATTGAAATCAAGGTGAGGTTGATGGGTTTGGGATACTGATTGAATGGTCGATTTCAAGAAAACTTTCAAACGGCGTTCGTTTTAAAAGCCGAAAAATAAAGAGCGTCCACAGATCGATCAATCCTTCGAAATTTCCACAGCACTGTTTTTGAGCTTGAAGACGAAAATACGATTGATGTGAACACATTTACACGACTAAGAAAAGAGCACACAAAGGCCGAACAAACGCACGCAAAGAAGTTCTGAAAACAGTATCATTTGTAACGACCGTAGGGCAGAACTTGGTCGCGTAAATGCGAAGTTTCTGTTTCATACAATAACTCAATTAGGAATTATACGAAGCTGTGATCAACCATAAACTAAAATCGCAACGGGACTTAAGGCATTTATCACATCCAAATAACGAAACTCGACGTCTTAAAAAAGTATTAATTTCAACGTGCGCGTAAGAAATTGAGAAAGCTTCGTGCTTTAAAAACAATAAAGGAGCCTGAATGTTAAGCGAAATACTTCTTTGAAGCAGTTGGTTGCCTTGCAGAATTTGTAAATAAACAATCTGCATCGAGAGATGATCAACGATCTTACCTGGAAACCGTTTAAAATATGGGAAAATGAAAGAAGTTGGATGTCGTCGAAGTTCGCCTTCACATCCGCTGTAAATGTATGACACAGCCGGGAAGCACGAGGGTGGCAGGCGTGGATTGTCGGAGACTGGTGCCGAATCTGTAAAACCACCACCCCATATGGAAAGTCGAGGGGCGGGGGATGATGGAGCAGTGGATGGGGTCTAGTCGGGGGCGTGTCCACCACAGCGTCCGGGTCCGCGCTGCGCTGCAGCGCTAAATCTAACGCTAACACTAATTACACCCTTCATGCACAATTACTTTTCCGATCGAAATAAAAAAAATCTAAACAAACCAAACGAAAAAACTCAAGTAGTTAGTTAAATAGCTTTCGCCAACCGGCAGGGACACCGCAACAGCTTTCGCCAATTACTGCGGGCCCAATAAACCCACCCATCCCGCCCCAGGGGAGGACATCCATCATACAGTAATCTCGTGTGTGGGAAATTAACGTCTCCTACCCCAACCCTGCAGGAGACGGGACCTCCACTTATTCGTCCCTATCCGAGAAGACTAGAATATCTAACAATTTCTTGATGTTATAGAAAGGCAGCATTTGCTCCTTTTCTCAATTATTTTAAGACCCTGAGTGTTGGTCCAGCCGGGGCTCGAGCCCTCGACCTCCCGCCCAACAGTCCAGCGCTCTATACATTGAGCTAACCGTAGGGCGGTTGAGTATGTCTCAAGCATGTATTATCCATTTTTAATTCAAGCGTTCAGAAATTTGCCCTTTCCTTTCTAAACAGCTTCTTCATAAATTCACAAACGTTGTTGTCCACCTACTTTCTTCTTNTGAATTTGGTAGTTCCCAGTCCTTGTGAGACACAGCCATATAATAATAAGAGAATATCAAGAAGACAAGAGACAAGAATAAAGAAAAATATCAACAGGGAGATTATTAGTTGATCTAAGACCAAATTCTCTATACCAACATCATAAGAATTGTATTGCAGATAGGAAGGAGAAGTACTAAGAGGATCTAGGAAGTGAAAATGAGTTTCAAAACCTAGTTTCTTTAAGAATACTGGCGGCATAAATTCATACAATACAATACAATACAATGTTCTTTATATTTAGAGGGTAGATACATGATTTACCCAGTAAAGATTTTTCTAACACATGGCCCTCTAATAAACCCACTCAACCCACCCTGGGGGAGGACATCCATCACACAGTAATTTCGTGTGTGGGAAAAATTAATGTCTCCTACCCCAACCCTGCAGGAGATGGGACATCCCTTTATCCGTCCCTCTTCGAGAAGAATAAAATATCTAACCATTCTTGATGTAAAGGCAGCATTTGCTCCTTTTCTCAATTATTTTAAGACCCTGAGTGTTGGTCCAGCCGGGGCTCGAGCCCTCGACCTCCCGCCCAACAGTCCAGCGCTCTATACATTGAGCTAACCGTAGGGCGGTTGAGTATGTCTCAAGCATGTATTATCCATTTTTAATTCAAGCGTTCAGAAATTTGCCCTTTCCTTTCTAAACAGCTTCTTCATAAATTCACAAACGTTGTTGTCCACCTACTTTCTTCTTAGATCAACAGAAGTGAGTTGAAAAATCATTAGCTTGTAAGAAATTTAACTTGTCTCACTAAAGAAGTAATTTTCACGTCTTCCTTCCGAACATGAGGTCACTTGTTACCACGTCACGTGACACTTTCCCTGACCGTAAACATGGCGGACTGTGTCGAAACAAGATTCGACGCGGCAGTAAATGTGGTGCGATCAATGCCAAAAAAAGGTATCAACAGGCTTTCTAGAAAAATTTTCTGAAAGAGGACGAGTCGTTCACTACAAAAACTGTTTTTTTCTCCATAACGTCCATGTTCTGTTTTATATTACAGGTTCTTACAAGCCATCTTACGAAACGATGTTGAAGGTACAATATACATTATTAGTGAAGGGGGACTAAAGTCCATTTGCGACTTCTTTTTGGCGTGTAGATCGAACAAAGCTGGGTTTTTTTTGTGATGATGAAATATATTGATAGCCTTTCGTAGCTAAAACTCCTGGTCATGATCATGAAGCAACTGATCGTCGAAAAATATGTTTATGGCTATTCTATGAGAAAATGTTAATTCATGGATAAGGTGTTTGTTTCAAGGTAGCACGTCCTAACATACGTCTGAAGTCTTCGAAAGATTTCGTAATTTATTCACATTTGGTGTTGAGTTTGGAGCTGATGACTTTAAATGGTGAAAATATTGCGTACTTCTTTAATTTTACGACTTAATCGACGATTTTTCTGCAAAATGAATGGCGGCAAGTACGTGTGAAGCAGAATAAATTCGTTAGTTTTAGAAGTAAACGTACATCTTTTATGTACGTTCATTGATCTTATCACTCACTGTCCACTTTAAGGCTAAAAGGTGTTTCCTTGTCGACAATAATGATTTCTACAAGATTGCACATGACAGATTTTGACTACGAACTGATCTTGTTTATTTGTTAATTTATTTATATTTATTTATTTATTTTTCACTTTTAGTTTTATGCACTTTACAAGCAAGCTAAGGAGGGACAATGTTTTGAATCAAAGCCTGGAATTTGGGAATTTGTGAACAAAGCAAAATGGTAATTTCACACCTATAGCAGTGCTGGTCATTCTTGAGTGTTATGGGGGGGGGGGAGGCAGGAAAAACAAACGTTCTGAAATCCAGCATAATTGCAAGCAATGAGGCTGGAACAGGGCTTTTGCTTGTCTGGCAGGAAGAACTCTTTGTTCCCAACTATATATTGAATTTTGTTCCTGTTTTTTTTTTAATCTTTTCTGAAGGGATAGATAAATCAATTTTACTGTAATTATATTTGTTAAGTAAAACTATGTTGTGATATATAATTATGCATGTAGATTTAAACAAATTGTGATGCAGTGTTAATTTAGTTATTTTTGATATGCTTTCATGTTATTCATTGTGTTACTGGGGGGTTTGAGTGAACCCAGCACTAGCTTGTGGGTTTCTACTGTTACTGTAACAGGAATTATATTTATAGTTAAGGAGGCTCAAAAGGGTTTTTTTTGACTGCACGGAGAATGGATTCCAAGATACACGCAGGCTAATTACTCGCGAGAGAAATAAGCAATAGCGCGCGCGATCAGATCCTTGGGCGAGTTGTAAACAAACATGGCTGCCATGAGCATTTCAAAATTTCCGGCACCTCTATTGTTTCCAGCAGAAGTGGTTGTTTAAGAAACAAAAATGGAAAGTTTACTTCTTGAAAGCAGGTAGGAAAATGTTTGGATGGCAGGATTCTTGCCGAAAGTGGTCAAAAAAATTTTATTTAATGAGCGAAAGGAGGATGGTGAAGTCGACACCCCATCAATAAAGTCGCGTCAAGTGCATTCGGTACTCGGTAGATCTTACTTGTTCCGCGAAAAATTTAAGTGGATACCTCTGAGTGCCACGATTTGTTTCGCATTGAATTTGATTCCCAATAAAATGAAATGACCGAAAACTTTCCTAAACAAGTCACTGGAAGATGAAAAGGAAAATGAAATCATTGTTGGATCCAGGATTGTAAACATTGACAGTTTTATTAATGGAAATGGAGAAGTGTAAATGTTGCCATAAAAATAAACATAATTTTCAGTAAACAAGAAATCGTAAAAATGTGGGTGAGACTTTAATTCTAATTCAACCACAGATGGTAAAATTAAAATAAAATATTCATCTTTAACTTGTGAGAAAGATTGTTGATATTTCCCTTGATAAACTGCAAATTACAACTTCGAAAATGCAAACTCCTATTTGTTAAGAAAGGACTGCAAAATTTGTTTTGTTTTTCAATTAAACGGAATAATGAAAGTTCATGGTTATGACAGTGGCAAAGAGAAAAAAAGAAAATTTAAGCCAAGGCTTGTTCATACCTCTAGTACCTCAAAAATTATAGAAATTCGCGAAATCTGTGACGACCAACAAATTGCTGATGTATATGAAACCCTAATTTCCGCTGGGTTTGAGGCTCGTGACAATCTGGAAGACGTCAAAGCAAATTCTTTTCACTCCAAATTGTTTTCACTCTTCCACTTCAAATTGCACATGAACAATTATATCGGTCAATCATGGTAAATGTGCATCGTCAAATGAGGCCTTCAATCAAGCCATCTTCTCAGCTCGGAACAGCGATAAGATACCATCCAGACGTTCGATGGAAAGCTTCATCTTTCGCAAACATGGTCCAGAAGCTGGCAGATGCTGGTTTGTCTCATGTTACACTACAATCTCTGTACGAGAAACTCAACATTTAACACCCTCAATGGAGTACTGGCGTAGGCAGCATCTGCCAAATCAACTTGTCATCATATATCGAATTCAGTTCCTCTAGAGAACTCTCTACGGAGTTTCTCTCCGGAGTTCATTTCCAACTGTCGTAACGGTAAGCAGTCTGGGTCTCAAATGATGACTCACTTTTCAGGAATGTGTAAAATCACAAAACAATGTAAATCCATCTTCAGGATGAATGATTTTTAACGCGCTGAGGGCATCCGTCAATTAATCACGCGGACACGGACTCGTCTTCGCGAAAGTGAGCCCTTGAGTCAGCAGTATCGTTTAAAATGTGTGACCGATATAAAAGTGTGAGCTAAAATTGCAAAAACCAGAAATAAAGCTTGCTAAGTTGATGAACTAACATCTCGAAAATTAGTTTGGTGACCTACCCTGATTTTTTGTGTACAAATTAATTTCATCATTACGTGTTCCTGAAGAAAATTTTAAAAAAATTTATCTTGTGGAAATTTTTCTACATTTTAAAACAGCATTTTCCTAAATAATTCAAGTTCTACTAGATAGTTTTTTTTAATATCACGTATACATGTAGAGAATGTGATGATGTTTTAGAAAATTAACAAAAAAACTAGGTCACCGACTTGGTTTTTGAGATATCTTTCAAAAACTGAGTTTTAGAGGGTCTTTTAGCACTACTGTACTGTTGCCATGGCAACAGATAATGCCTGACGAACTCCTTAAAAGATTGCCCTAACATAGTGTTATGCATATGTCAAGTCATTATCCTGATGATAAGTTTGACAGTCCTGATATCTTTTACTGATTGGCAGTCTTGCTGTTAATTGTGGAAAACCGTTTCGAGCCTCCTTAAAATAATTTTTGTAAATTATAAAAAAGATGATAAGTAAGTATGAATTAGTAATGAAATAGTCCTGAAGATTTAATCAGATTGCAATGTAATGTTAATTTAAAATGCCTTCATTTAAACATACCTATTAGCCAATCAGAGCATGCCAATGATACAAGTTGATGTGTGATTTCAAGGTGGTAGAATACTTAAACCAATCACTTACTTCAGTCTGCCACCACTCAAGGCAAAATAACAAAAGTGTTTTTGAGTAAAATCAGAATGATAATTATGCACAAGAATTTCTCATTTGTTTCCAAGATTTGAAAGATTTCATTCCATTGGTGAATACTCAAGTGATAAAAATGATGAACTCTCCAAACAGATTTGTACTTTGACTCTCTTTTACAGGGAGGCATGGCATGGCTTGGGTAAGATGTCAAAGCAAGAGGCTATGGAATCCTATGTCTGTGAACTAAAACAGGTAATAATGGTTTTCAAACAGGTTCTTTGCTCCTCACCAGGGAAAAGTTCCCCATGATACTTGGCTTTTATTCATTGTAGTCACTAAAGAACTGTCTCTTGTGTCTGTATCAGTAAATGTTTGAATGCAGTGGTACAAAATATTGATAGCCTGATCTGTGGCTATTTCTGATAAGAGTCCTTTCCAGGGTTAGCCTTGCCTGTGAGATTACAATTTATTACATGACTCGGGCAGTCAGAGGGCCAACAACTAAAATCAACCAATCAAAATGCTCTATTGCCGGTCAATATTCTCTCAGTATTGGACCGGGCACTGTCCCGAATGGTCCCGAATGATACCGCACTTGTGTCCCTTTGAACTTCACTCATATAATAAATCTCTTATTAACCTAGCTTGCTCGGGACCGTACTGGAAGAATATCGGCCCTTGGTCTTTTTTGTACGGACCTCGCTGCACGTGATCCGTACTGTCAAGACCTCAAGCCGATATTCTCCTAGTACGGCCCTCGCGCTTGGTTAATAATATATATATATATTTATCAGTAGTTATCAATAGTTACCTGTTTAACATGGCTTATTACCCTTGGCTGATGATGTATTCCCAAATGTATAATGAAATACTTGTTTTGTTACATGTTTTCTTAGGTAATGGAAAACTTACCAGAAAGTGAAGAGGCAGCAGATTTTAGTGAAGTGCTGAAGACTTTTTACCAAGCAGTGTATGAAGGCCAAGAGGAGAAACCTCCAGCAATTCTTAAAATCTTTGAGAAAGAAAATGTTCCAGAAAAGATCAAAGCAAAAGGAAAATTAAAATCAAATTCACATCATACGCTGCAGGATAAAAATGTTCTGAATGGTTATGGCAATACACACAAGGTAAATGGGACATGTGAAGAGTTTCCTTGTGGGGTAAATGGATTCCCTCACAAAGATAGCATGGATATGGAATCGCAATTTCCTCACAGGGATAGTTTAGAAATCAGTAAGAAAGCAAGCATGGATTTAAAGCGGAGACTGCAGTTTTCAAAAGCAGTGAATCCGGTGCTTATTATATCTTCGGATGAATTAAAGGAATGTGATGAAGAAGATGAAAATGATGATAATGATAGTGGAATTCAAAATGGAATGTTTGAAGGTACGTACCTGTGAATGTGTGAAAGATGTTTTCTCTGAGCAGCTTTACAGCTTTATTAAAAGGAAAATAATGGTTCTTTGTGACATAATTGAGCCAGAGCGTATCTACGATATTCAGGTTAACATTTAGTGGATAAATATGCATTTTGACTTAAAGTTCGACCTCGTCCATTAGTTGTTTAATATCAGTAAAAGAAAAATCAGTTTATTATCTGTTCTCTAACCACAGAACTAGGAATCAAACCAGTTTCAATGGTATAATTTTGAACTGAACTTTGTTGTAAGGGAGATGCAGTGGCCTCATGGTTAGTGCGCGCGACTCTGGATCAAGCGTCTTGGGTTTAATTGAGCCCTAGCCGGGGATATTGTGTTGTGTTCTTAGGAAAGACACTTTACTCTCACAGTGCCTCTCTTCACCCAGGTGTTTAAATGGGTACCAGCGAATTTAATACTGGGGGGTAAACCTGCGATAGACTAGCATCCCATCCGGGGGGGGTAGAAATACCCTTAGTCGCTTCATGCTACAGAAACTGGAGTTAAGCACTAGCCTGATGGTCCACTTGGCTCTTTTATAACAGACTTTACCCTACTTTGTGGTGAACTACAACCCATGCATGAAAGATGTCAGATCCAGATACATGCTTAGTATATGCTGGTTCTTTCTCTTTTATTTATACAACATCCTGATATCAAGTGTGCAATTATAATATTGCAGTTCCACCTTTGAGACCAAGTGATACTGAGCCAACAAGACCAAAAGGAAAGAGTGGAGTTGTTCTGACCAGTGATGAAAGTGAAGAGGATGAATTTTGCGACTCCTTAGATCCTGAGCATCTACAAGAATTACAAAATGGAAATCATGTGGAAAGCGAACTGCCAGATCTTGATGATGCATTCAAAAGGGTTGATTTGACAAAGAGTAAGAGTCCCAATGGGTCCCCTGAACATGCCACAAGTTCGACAATGTCAGAATCTGAAAATTCAGATTTAGAGAGTGGAGCTTTGAGATTTGGAGATTTGGAGCTTTTAACAAGTACACCATTTGCTAAACATGTGACTTTTGCCATGGATGATACTGAATCCAGTACAGCTACTGTGGTTAATTCAGACTCGTCTCGGGTTGAGCCCTCAGTCACTGCTGAGGAATGCGTTTCTGAAGTCTCTCCTGTTCTGGAGAATGGACTTGGTCAAACCAGTGCAGTTGGACAAGAGTATGAGTCATTTCAACCTTTTGATCAAGCACCCAAAAATCCATCAGGAATCCTTAAGTCACATTATTCTGTGAGAGAATGCGGCGGAGGTGATGCTTCCCAACAGCCATCTGGGCGTGGTCATGGAGGGCGGACAAGGCAGTCACAAGGAACCAGAACCAAGGAAGGTAATGGTGATTCTATGATTCTAGGGTTTAAAGGTGGAAGTGACCTGTTTTTCCACCCAGCATTATTGTGTACTGGTAAGTTCAACTTGCTGTTACTTGTTATAATTACCTTAGTTGACTTTTGATGATTTGAAATTTTCAGGGAAAATAAAACAAGGTGTGAGTCGTGGGGAGTGTGAGCTATATGGGACAAACATAAAAATGACTCAAAGGAAAACAAAAATTACAAATTAAAACAAAGTTTATTTTATATCAAGACGGATATTTCACTGTTTTTTTTTCCTTGCACTCGAGAAACAAGCACAGGTGAAAACCCTGGTCTCTAGGGCTTCTGTAGAGTGCTGGATGTAGGTTTTGAGTTACTGGGAGTTTATTGACTGTGCTTTTGACAATATATTTGCTTTCTTCTTATATAAACACATTAAATAATTTATTATAATTCAACTCTACTTGTTTATGAATCCACAAGGGTCCAGCTCTGGGAGTGGAGTAAGTCATCCATCAAGGCGGCACAGACGAAGGAGTGACAGTGACAGTGAGGATGAATTGACAAGTGATCATACAAGTGGCCCAGACTACGACTCGGCAGGTGACAGGGATGAAATCAACGAAAGGATCCTACAAGCTCTTGAAAGGCTTCATCAGGACATGAAAAGTGTGCTGAGGAGACTTAACACCATGGAGGAAGCAGTCTTGTCTAGACAGGTTGGTTTTTACATTCGATAAAATCAGTTTTATGTTATTATTATTTTGCTTTCTGCCTTATAAAAGCCTCAATTAATACTTATATGTCCTAGGATGTCTTAATCCCTCACTCCCTAAGACTGACTGTTATCTAATTTTTCCCAACAAAATCAACCCAGAATCAAATAGGAAGGTCACGAGAATAGAGGAAATGATCACCAACTAATAAAAGCAACTCTTGACTGTTGAACAAATTTTCCTGTTCAGTAACCTAGGAGATGTATGGAGAAAAATGTGGAGAATGTGCCTACTGATGTAACAAGGTGTGAAGGGGGAAGACTTAACTGAAGCCATGATCCTTGAAATTTTGTTGGATCCTGTAAAGTTTCAATGAAAATAAATTTCAAATAATTTCAATGTTAGACTTAAACCTATGAAAGGAAATCAAACAAGTTTATGAAGATTTTAGCTCAAAATTCATTTATAACTATCAGCTATTGTATAGGGTTTAAGGATATCAGTAATGCATTGAAAAAGCTCAGAATGTTATTCCCATGTGATTCTTTCCTGTGCATCAATAAATTGTCAAGAATATACTTTCAGTTGACAAAATATGGCAGAAACAAAGGGAAGGAATTTTTGTTTCTTATCATTGTGACCCTTGTATTGTCAATTTAGTAGTACTACTAAAGGTCCATTGTATTGTTTAATTTTTATAACTATTAAATTATTAATCTGTGTTTATTCCTCGGTCAGGATTTAGTTGCTAGATCTGAGCAGCCATGGTGGAAATCTTACATTCCATCAAAGCCTTTGATGTTCCTTGTCCTGTGGCCATTCATTGTGAACATTGTCTTCTATTACTTTAGACAAAGAAAGGTAAGTCAGAGATTAACAAATAGAAACACACAGAAAGAAAACCAACTCTAGAACAATTACTAAATCTAATTAAAATAAAGAAAATGATCACAAATAGCCAATAAGAACTTAAAGTGAAAACGAGTGAACTGCCAAAAGGATGGGAGAACACAGGGTAACCAAGATAGGGCTGGTTTTAGTTTGGTATATGATTGGTCTACCTTTTAGGTGAAAATGAGCAAACTGCCAAAAGGATGAGAGAATGCAGGGTAACCAAGATAGGGCTGGTTTTAGTTTGGTATATGATTGGTCTACCTTTTAGGTGAAAACGAGCAAACTGCCAAAAGGATGAGACAACGCAGGGTAACCAAGATAGGGCTGGTTTTAGTTTGGTATATGATTAGTTAACCCTTTAAGTGAAAACAAGCAAACTGCCAAAAAGGTGGGAGAACACAGAGTAACCAAGATAGGGCTAATTTTAGTTTGGTACTGGTATGTGATTAGTTAAGCTTTTACACCCTTACATTAGTATGCATATTCCCTACACTGTTCTTTATTCATTTCCTGAGGTGCAAACTCCTAACTCTCTACACATTAAGATCAGCTAGTATGCATATTCTCCATACTGTTCTCTGTACATTTCCTAAGGTGCTGACAAGGAGAATTTGTTTAACAATCACAAGCATCTTTAGTTGGTGATTGTTTTCTTCATTCCCATGACCTTGATGTGTGATTCTGGTGTGATATTGTAAGGAGAAATTAGATGCTAGTCACTCTTAGGATCAAACAATTAAGAGTGTTGTTTTACTTTACTTGACCAATCAGAAGTGTGGGGATATACAGGGGAAAGGACATGTACAATTCCTTACTATGTACATTTTTTGTAATAGAGTTCAATTAGACTTAACAGGTTTTATTTCCTCTTTATTTCTAGCAGAGTTCACAGCAAAGATAATGATCACAAGCCTACTCCAACTCACAATAACTTATGGCAAAGCCATGGTGTGCAAGTTTGTTGTTCATTGAGGGATGACTTCTCAATTTTGAAATTCTGTTGTACAGTCAAGAAAGGGGAATCACGAAATGTTAGAGTGCAAAGTTCACCTCCAAAGAATTTCTTCTCTGCTACTGAATATGAACAAAAACAACTACAACCAAAAAAACAGGGCTAAGTTTTTGGTACCATCACATTTATTAACTCAGTCAGGCAAGTACTGGTACTGTGATGGTGAAAGACCATTTCATAAAATATTAAATTATATTTAAAGTTTTTTCCAATTTTAGAAATTAATTTTATTAATGCTCTTAATGTTTAGAAGAAATGGGAACTAGTCTGATCATGGGGTCAAAGAGACCACCCTGTTGATTTGTCGTACTGGTGTAGCTTGTTGTTTCATTAAATTAAGAATTGTTTTGCTTTGAACCCCAAACTCGTTCGGAAGAACACTCAAGGCAACACAAACACATCAATTGAAGTTGGTGATCAAATTCATTCATTCATAATTCAGTCACCCTTAGTACCTTTAGTATATATTAAAAAAAAAAAAACATTCATTTTGCTTGTCCAGAGTTCTGTCACATAACTTGATGTAGTTAGGTATAAAAGTAATTTTGTATTTATTTAATTAATTTATTGGGTACTGATCATAACATACTTCGCATATTTTCTTTACCTTTCAATTCCAAATAATGACCGCCCTCATTCCCAGGGTCTCTCATCTTTCAGGGGGCAGGAAGATGAGAGACCCTGAGAACAAGATTGAACAGTGATTGGCATCTTATTTCTCCTTACAGTAACACTTCTGAATTAAACATTAAAATCAGGAGGATCAAGGAAATTATTTTCAAATGAAAAAGCTTATGATTGTTAAACAAATTCTCTTTGTTCGTCAGTGACAGATCCAGACCTTGAGGGAGGGGGAGGGGGGTGTGTGTGTGTGTGTGCCATCTTTTCTTCCTGCAATTTTTTTTTACCTAAAATAAGGGGGGCATGCCCCTTCCCTAGAACCACTGCTCTCAGTACCATGGCAGTGTCTAGAGAACAGTATGGAGAATACTTTATCATAGGAAATTAACAATGGATGTTGACAACTAGAAGAAAATTTACGTTACACTAAATTAATGCGAATTTTTCAAAAATTAGGTTTACATACATTAAATTAACACAAATTTTTTGAGAAGCATCTTGCTTTATCTACTGCGATTTTCAAAATTCTGCAAACTCAGACTTTACATTTTTTGAACACCAAACTGAGTTTTGGCCTGTCAAAAAAACCTTCCAAGAAAACTCCACAGATATTTCTAAGTTTTAGTTAAAATTTAGTTTTGAAGCTTAACTTGACCCTAATGATTCAAAAGATCTTTCAAAGCCTCCGTGAAATCACCAAGAGCTGCTCACTCCTTTGATTGACAGAAACCCAACTGCAGTTTGTTGCAGTAACACAAACTTGCAGCACTTACAAAATCTCAACATACACATGTCTCATGGAGAAAAAGAAGCATTTACAATAGTTAGCTTTTAGGAAATAAAGGTGCTTTAAAATAACAGTGTTGTAAAATAGCGTGCATTAAATTTACATCGACATTAATTAAGATATGTTAAGAACACCTCTTCCGGCCTTCAAAACGATCTTAAGAAACTTTCCGACACTTTAAAACCTAATTCTTTTCCTTCGCATATTATTGAAAGAACTTTCAAGCGGTATCTTGACGGGTCCTCCTCTCAAAATAGCCGGAACATTGATGACAATAACACACGTTACTTTAAATTCCCTTTTGTCGGCTATTATTCTAAAATAGCAAACCTCAAACTCCTACAACTCGCTCAGCGCTTTTGTAAATCGGACCTAAATATCAACTAGTTTTCACTTCTTTTAAAATTAAAAACATGTTTTGTGTTAAAGATCGTACTCCTGATGCTCTAAAATCCATGGTAGGTCGCCACTTCTCTACTAGGATAAAGGGGCACACAGAAAGCGATAAAAACTCGCATATTTTTAAGCATTTCAACACATCTCCTTCTTACGTATGATGCACGATCCTCGCAGTAGAGAGCGCTATTTATGCAATAGCGAAAATCAGACCTGAAAAAAATCAGGCCTGTACGGGATTCGAACCACTGACCTCTGCGATACTAGTGCAGTGCTCTACAAGCCAACTGGAAGCAGGCCGTTCAGTTGATTCGTAATAAACCCGTGATGATAAATCAGATACAATGAATATATGAAAGTTCATATATTTTGAACTGCGGTTATAGATCCTCGCAGTAGAGAGCGCTATTTATGCAATAGCGATAAATGCTATTTATGCAACATCTCCTTCTTGTAAGAACTTGACAAATACTCCCTTTCTTACTTTAGTATTCTGGATTCTGCTAACAACTCAATTGATTTAAAACTCAAAGAAGCTTTCATATAAATAAGATCAAACCTGAACTTAACAATTACTGCATTATAACACTTTTCTAGCGTTTTAGTACACACCTTTGATGTTTGGTGTCACGTTGTAATTAGTACCCGCTTTTGTATTACATCATACTGTAAATATTTTATTTATCTACTTGTCTGTTATATAATTACTCACGTTCTGTTACTCATTGATTGAAGATGGCATATGCATGCCGAAACATGTCTCTCAAAAAAGTTGTCTATTTCTTACAATATATTAAATTAATGCATTGTTAATAAAGTGCATGTTAATTTCCTATAAGAAGGTATGCATATTGAGTGTACAGGGTTAAGAGTTTACTCAGATAAAGGAGATGCACTTGGACATATTGTGGACAGATAACCATAGAAAAAGAAGCAAGTGAAAACTTGAAATACAACTGATACCATGAAATAGCTCTCACACATTTCATACTAAACTCTTTCACTCCCAGATGTTAGCAATAAGTAAATTCTTCCTTCAATATCTTTACATTATCAAACACTGAAGTGGTGAGAAGAAGGAAATACATCATTTGTCAGATATTGCTTAGTTATAAACCGAATACACTGAGTAAAAAGTGTTAAGAATGTTTAGCAGGCATTAAGAAAAAATAATAATAGCCCTTGGGGTGGAAAGGGGCTATCATGGTGATAAAACCATAGTCAACATTTCATATGGTTGTATAGGTGTATCTACGGGTAGATGTCATTTTGTATTATGATTGCAGCAGGCACTTAGTATACACTTACAGTTAGGCATTATGTACTGACACTAGAATATATTTCTTATCTGTTGTGGACTTGTGATAATCAGGCTGTATCACTGTCTCCTACTTTGGAGCTGAATTGAGCTAAAGAATAATTCAGTTTGTATGACTTCTTTGAATTATACTTGTGTTCAACTTCAGCCATGCACAGTGTTTGGTTGAATGAAAAGTTATTTTAATGTTGTTACCATTTGTTAAAAGTGGGAACTGTCCTGATTTCTTAACTGATGTATTTGGTAACAATTTATCATTTCATTGTGATGTTACCAAAATAATGGGAAAGTCATTATTTAACAGACAAAAATTTTCTAGAAGTTAATTTTGTATGAAAGTGTTTTTAATGAGTTTATACCCGAATTGAGGAAATGCAATAAAGACTCCAAGTCACTCATTAAAAATTAAATCTGTATGCTATCTTTTTCAAAGAAGTTTATCATTTTCTGAGCAGTGTGTTGGTCCAAACTACAGTCTAGTAACTCTTCCTTGGTAGCCTCTGACACCCTGGCCTCATTAAAAGTTAAATCTGTATGCTATCTTTTTCAAAGAAGTTGATCATTTTCTGAGCAGCATGTCGGTCCAAACTACAGTCTACAAACTCTTCCTTCGTTGCCTGTGACACCCTGGCCTCATTAAAAATTAAATCTGTATGCTATCTTTTTCAAAGAAGTTGATAATTTTCTGAGCAGTGTGTTGGTCCAAACTACAGTCTAGTAACTCTTCCTTGGTAGCCTGTGACACCTTGGCTACATTCTTGCAACCATCCTGTAGCACCAAGCATTCTTAAGATGTGTAATTAAGGAAACTTTACTCAAAACAAGACTTAAAATAACCCACTCTGTTTATCACAAATGCTTACTCAAAAACGCACCACCATACATGATCGAGCCACGCGGCATAGCAACAAACTTCAGATCCCTTTTTATAAGTCCACGAATGGTCAACGAACCTTTGCCTATAGAGCAGTTTCACTATTAAATTCCCTGAGTGGTGACCTAGTGAATTTGCCTTCAGTAGGGTCATTGAAACATTCTTTGAAGGACTCCCTAAGAGGGGCACATTAATAGTCTTCGTATGATACCCATTGGACATATATATATATATATATATAATATTATATATATATCTATATATTTTTCATTGTTATTACCCTATTTTAAGTTGTTCATTTGTGATTGTAAAATTGTCTACCCATTGTAAATAGTTGCTGAAAAGCCTGTACAGGAGTAATTATTAAAGTTCATTCATTCATTTATTCAAGTTCTCCTTGCATAAAAAAGTATAGAGGGAGACATAATGTATGGAAGAAGTTCTTGCCTCAGATGCTGGTAAGGAGAGAAGCCTTTTATCAAAGGATACCATGGCCGCTTAGTCCTATAGTAGCAAGGGCACTTAGAACAATGTTGTCACTAATTGTCGACTCTTGTAGCCTTTTCATTCTTTCTTGAATCACTCTTGCCATGGGCTTACTAGTAACCTGGATACAAATACTTGAAACAAGTTAGAATTCTGAAAAAACGGTAGGTCTACTCAGGTTGAGACAGGACTTCTCAGTTGGGTAGGCAGCAAATGGGCTACCTAACAGCTCTCTACCAAATAACCATAGACTGACTCATCCATCAATAGTGAATATAAACTAGTGATGGTTGCTGATTATGACCCAAGGTT